ATGTATGACCACGTGTCCTTCCCTCAGGGACGCGTGAGCTAGGGCTCCCATGATTGCAACTGCCTCTGCCAGTAGCGTGGAGGCGTTGTCTGTTACCCTCATGGATTTTGTGGCATCCCTTGCTGCAAAGACGGCGCCTGCAGTGTGGCTCAAGGGATCGACTGATCCATCCGTGAAGTATGGTCTACTACCCGGAGGAGTGATGGCTGCAATGACCGTCTCGGCTTCTGCCTTTAGACTAGGCATGGGGTCCCTGTCCTTGGCAAGTAGCTGTTTGATAACGTATCAACATCCTGGCTGTGTGACAGCCAGGAGTTGTTTGCAAAGAGCTCGGGGTTTTGTTCTAGGTGCCTGATTATTTTTTGTCTTAGGCTTGTGTTCCCGGGAGCCTGAATGACCTTTGGAAGGAATTGTGCTACCATTAGATCTGTTCGTGCCTCCATCAGGAGGGTGAGGACCTCCGTCCACCTTGGGGCACCCAGAATGATCCAGGCAGCTTCATTTTGAACTGTCTCCAAGTTGTCTTTATAGTTTTTCTTAATGCTGTGTGCTGCAGCGGCAGCGATCTCGCCTAGGAATCTTGCTGACCTGCGTTCGAATCCCTCGCCACCAGTGGATGGTAACCCCGGCCATTCCTTGCACACAGGGGATAATTTAGAAGCAAAATAAAACAGACAGTATGTCACACCAAGAATATCCATTGTAACAAATGGAATCAAACTAAATTATTATTATTATTATTAATGGCAATCATTAAGGCATTGGAAGTCCTGGACCTATTCCAAATCCTTTCTCTGGATTTTTAGACTTGTGCCTTGAACATTGTCTCAGTGCCATCTCTTTTGATTTGGCTACAGAGATCTTTACTCCTGAGATACAAAGTCCAGACAACGCTGGGCTTTATTAGGCAGTATGGTCCAGTGGAGGTGATTACAAGATCGTCTGCATAGGAGATGATCTTGCACCCTACTGGGAGGTGTATGTTGAGGATACAGGACATTAGGGTGTTGAATAGGGCTGGACTGAGAACCCCAGCCTGTGGCGTTCCTTTTGGTAGTGGCATGTCTTGTGATAGGTGACCTTGGAACCTGACTCTGGCTGTTCTGTTCCTGAAATAGTCACCTATCCAAGCCAAAAGCTTTCCTCTGATTCCCTTCTGGATCAGGCTCTCCTGAATGACAAGTAGACTTGCTAATTCAAAAGCCTTCTTCAGGTCTAGGAATACTACCACAGATGTGCCAGTGCTGATTGTGCTCAAGAGCGTGGCTGTGCTGTGTGCTGTGCTTATGCCCCTTGTGAACCTATGAAGGTGTGCATGTGAGGGTCCCATTTTCCACTGGAGTCGGTTTAGTACCATTCTCTCGGCCTTCTTGGCCAGACAGCTGAGGAGAGAGATAGGGCGGTACTTCCCTGGCTCCTTTGGGATGGAAACTATAGTAGCCTTCTTCCAGCTCTGGGGTGGAGTCGAAGTTTACCAGGACTTGATGAGTTACAAGAGTGCAAGCTCACCTGCTAGTCCTAGGTGGGAAATGATGGGGTACAAAATCCCATCAGAACCTGGGGCTGAGTGTGAACTGTTTTTGTAAGTTTTCCTTAGTTCGCTCAGAGAAAAGATAACATCTGAGGGATCGGGTTCAGTTGCCCTTTCTCTGATATGAGCAAGTCTGTCTGGTTGTAGGCATTCTTGCCTTGCCCTCAGCTCAGCTGGCAGACTGTTGCTTCTTGTTCTCGCAGAGAACTCGTGCACCAGTATGTTTGCCTCTGATTGAAGGTCATGATATGTGCACCTTGGGGCTGAGCGACTGGTAGCTCGCCTGACCCATTGCCATAACTCTGTAAGGGTGTTTCGGTGTACGAAGGACAGACACTATTCCAGCCACTTTTCCTGCCTGACACTGTTGGCCGTTTCCTTGGCATCCTTGACAGCCTCCCTTAGAAAGACTAGGTTCTCAGGGGTTCTTTGACTTCCGGATTGTTTTTGGCACGTTTACTCTGTGATTGACCTCCCTAATCTCGTCATTAAAGTACCAGGCTCCTGAACCCAGACCGAGTTTTAGGTGTGGTCTGTGAGGCTGCCTTATTTATGACAATGATAAGTCTGGCTTCAAGCACATCCACATTTTCACTTTGTGGGGGATCATTGCATCTCAAACAGCGGACCAAGGCATTCTGAAACGCCTGCCAGTTGGCCTTGTCTGTTTTCCATCTTGGATTTGGTTGTGGCATTTGGGCTGGGCCAGCGTCCATGAATGTATAGTGCCATAATGGTCTCATCGACACACCAGCTAATTCTCTCCACTAGAGCTGCATTGGCCAAGATGAGGTCTAGGACCCCTCCTCTGACATGCATTGGCTCTTGGGTATTGAGAAGAGTGATTTCAGGGATTGATTGATTATTTAAAATTATCTGCCGCGTCAACAGCTAAGGTCATTAGCGGCGAACACCTTGTTAGGTTGAAACATTAAAATATTTAAAACGTTAAAAAATTATCAATAAATG